GGGGGGGGGGGGGGGGGGGGGGGAGCTGCGGCGTATTACGCATGTTTTTTTGTATGTAAATTTCCTGTCGTACAGCTACTGGGCAGAGAGATCGGAACCGTTTTTCATGTGAAAACGACGACAACAACAACAGCACGTACGTGTGTTTCTGCACTTTTCTGTTTTATTTCTGTTTGTTGCAGTTCGGGACAGAAATTGAACTGTTAATTGCCGCGGATCTCTCTCTGCAACCGTTGTTAGTGTCGCCGATCGGACCAGTGCCTGCTACCCTGATCCTGCTGCTGTTCCGATACCCTGATATTTATCACGACACCAACGATTTTTCACCTTTCCTGCAGTTGCTGTTTAGTCTCATCTCAAGACACACACCTCTGCACAACCGAATGTTCATTTTTCTTTTTTAAGTCGCATCGCCAGCGCTGACCGGCCGACCAATGAAACGGCGTCAGTCCCAGTGCGTCGGGGGGAAGAGCAAATGCTTGCATAAAGGCCATGAGCTGGGGCATCATGGGGGCGGCTGGGCTATGTGCGTCTGCGTGTGTGCGTGTGCTTACACACCTCTTTTCTTCAAGTGCAACCGAATGTTTGCTGCGTGTTGTTCGTCTGGGTGTGTTTACGCATCTCGCTCTTTACATCCTTCTTGCGTGCTGTGTATCGTGTTTCTTTTTTCGTGGAACAACCCACTCAAAACTCAGGTGACGGGTCACACCGCAACCGCCGTTCTGGGGTCCCGGATGATGGTGCTCGGCGGCGGGAACATCCGCCAGTTTCACTCCTGTCGCCACGTGCTGGTCTACGACCCCATCGAGAGGACCTGGTCAAAGCTCGCCACCCGGGGGAACGCTCCCTCGGCTCTCATCTACCACAGGTGTGTTTCTCGTCTTTCTTTTATTACTTCTGTTTTGGTTGTTTTAATTCGTTCGTTTTTATTACTTCTGGTTTGTTGTTTTAGTTCGTTCGTGTTTTTTACTTCTGTTTTGGTTGTTTTAATTCGATCTATTTTTTTTTTTAGGTCCCGTTCTTTTTTTTATTTCAGGTCTGTATTCTTGTTTTGGTAGAATAGCTCGCTGTTTTTTTTTTTTTTTTCTTGGTTCGTGGCAGGTAGTTGCATGCCGCTCGCGAGGGGGGCTGTGGTAGGCTTTTTTGTTCGTTACGTCGTCGTCGTCTACTTGTTGTTGTTGCTGCTGGTGCTGTTGCTGTTGTTGCTATTTTTGTTGCTGTTGCTGTTGTTGCTGGTGCTGTTGTTGTTGTTGTTGTTGTTGTTGTTGTTGTTGGTTTTGTTTTTTTTCGCCCGTGGCTCAAACTCCGGTTCCATAAGCTTTGATTCGAAATTTGATTTCCTTGTTTCTTGTCGTTCACGTCGTTCCGTTGCTGCCTGTGTGGTGGGTTCTTGTGTGACCGCAGCACCACCGCGCTGGAGCCGCCGTGGGGGACTCCGCGGAATCTTCTGGTCTTCGGAGGAAACAGCAACCCCAGAAACACAAACGTGAGAGGGGGGGAGGGAGACAGAGACGGGCAGGCGGAGAGGGCGGACAGATGTGGCAGTACCGCGGCTGTGTGTGTTAGAAACGCCCAGCGCTTCGCTTGTTCTTATGGCATGAGTCGTACAAGGGTGGTCTTGACTTCCACCCCCCACCTCGCCTTCATTGTGAATCCGACTACTGTACTTGTACTCGCTTGCATTTGTTGGGGGGTTTTCGCATAAGAAGGAACTCCGTCGCTTCATTCCGCCCTACTCGCTTTCCCACGTCCGTTGTCGTCGTCGTTTTTTTTTTTTTTTTGCCCGTTTGTACGTGGAAGGCAATTCTCCCAGACGGACGTGAGCGTCCTGGACTGCTTGACTAGGGAGGGGCATCCCCCAAGGGGGGAGGGAGCCCCCATAGCGGGACCCCCTCCCCACACGGCCGGGGGGGGGCCCCGGGGATTACGCCCACCACTGGATTCGCGGTAAGAGAGGCCAAGAGGGGGGGGGGGGGGGGGTCCATAGAATCAGTCGATGAGTGTGCAGTCGTGGCTCCGATATAAGAGGGTGTGGAAAAGGCCCTGGACCCTCTTATATCGGAGCCCCCTCTTATACCGGAATAAGAGAGTGCTCAACTACTAGTATGCTATAGAGGGTCGAGTCCGTGACTACCGATCTGGACCTTCTCATGTCGGAGCCCCCTCTTATAAGGAACCCTCTTATATCCGAACACGACTGTACCGAAAATAACGCGGAGGGCGAAGGGGGGGGGAGGGGGGGTGTACTCATGTAAACGCATGCCGTAGTACAGTAGTGAGACCGTTGTTGACCTCGCATCCGTGCAATGCCGGGACGGAGCGATATATCCTCTATGCCGGGTGCCCGTTATGGTGCCGTTGAATCTGGCGGATGCATGCCGGTACTACTGACCACTGTGTTGTACTGTACTGCCATAATATCCCCACCTCCCCTACTAGCTTATCCAAACCATGAGATCTAACCCCCCCCCCACAACACGACCCCCGCCGTACTGCTATGAAAGTAAACGTGAACATGAGCCAGCCGGACGAGCTCGCCGCCGAGGAAGATCTGATCGACGCGGTGGGTATTGTAGTGCAATGTCTTGTGGGGGTTGCTTGGTTTACTTGCAAACGAACGATTTTGTGTTTCGGCTGATCATTCATGTCGATGAATAGCACTTGGAAGTAGGACAATGTCCCGCCCCATGTTTCTGCTAGCTCTTTGCATGTTCTGAATGGTTTGTGTGTCCGACTTATCTCCGGAAGTAATGTACTCGACACGTTTGTTGTTGGTTGGGTTGTTCGTAATAGGACGAATTTGTTGTTTAACCTGATGATTTACGTCGATGAACAGTGTAATTTACGTCTGCATCGGCGAAGATGTGTTGAAGTTTCGGCGCCAAGCACGCTGAATTTCTAAATTTGTACCACCTGTAGGCAAAGGGAAGGTATTAACTACCGTATTTGTTCACCGGCCAAGCTCTGACGTTGACAATGAAGGGTCACAGTAGCCCGCTCGCTATATCTTTGCATGTAATTTGTGTCCTACTCTTGTCTCCTGCGATGCTTTGTTTACCCGGAACCACCTCTAAAAAGATGTAATCTGTCCCTGAAGAACAAATAACTGTAGATATCCTCCTGTATGGTTGGCTATTGACATGCTCCTCATCCTTTCATTGGCTGCCGACTTTTTGCCTTTTGTGATATGATTTATTTACCCGGAAAGGACTATTACCTCCCTGAGGGCAAGGGCTGCGGCAAGCGACGCGAAATCCCCGGGAGCCCCGCCGAACGAAGCGGACGTGGTCCTACCCCCCCTCGAGACTTCGGGGGA